AAAAAAAAAAAAAAAACAAACACAATGAGATACCACTTCATAGAAACTGGGACATTTTGACATTTTGGACTGAATGATTAAACAAAAAGAAACTACGATGGACAAAAGAAAAAAAAAAAAAGGCACAACTGGGCTTGGCCTGTAATCCCAGCACGCTGAGAGGACAAGGCAGGAGGGTCACTTGAGGCCAGGAGTTTAAGACCAGCATGAACACAACACAGTGAAACCCCCATGTGTACAAAATTCATAAGTGAGCCAGGGCTGGTGGCACACCTGAGGTAGGAGGATCACTTGAGCTCAGGAAGTCAAGGTTACAATGACCTTTGATTATGCCACTATACTCCAGCCTGGGCAACAGAGCAAGATCTTATCTCAAAAAAAAAAAAAAAAAAAAGACAGACAGACAATGACACATGCTAACAAGTAGGGGAATTAGAATGCTCACACACTGCTGGTGGGACTGGAAAATGGTACAGCTAGCTACTTTCAATCCTCAAAATGCTAAACCCAGAGTTCTCATATGACCCAGTAATTCATGTACCTAGGTATATATCCAAGAGAAATAAAAACTTGTACGTGAATGTTCAAAGCAGTATTATTTAGCGAAAAAGTAGAAACAATTCAAATGTCCATGATCAGTTAAACATAATATGGTATATATCCATACAATGGGATATTATTCAACCATAAAAAGGATTCGTACTACAACATGAATAAATTTTGCAAACATTATGCTAAAAAAGCCAGTCACAAAAGACCACATACATGGGTCATTACAAATGTTTTAACATGAACAAAAATCAAGAAATGCAAAATCTGCATGGACAGAAACAAATGAAACCTTCCCAGCAACACCAATAAGCACAGCAAGTTGAAACTTGCACAGGTGAATCAGAAAGGACACTATTGGGCTCGGTGCCTGTAGCTCAGTGGCCAGGGCACCAGCCGCATACACCAGAACTGGTGGGTTCGAACCCAGCCCGGGCCTGCCAAACAACAATGACAACTACAACAAAAAAAGAGCTGGGCATTGTGGTGGGTACCTGTAGTCCCAGATACTTAGAAGGCTGAGGCAAGAGAATCACTTAAGCCCAAATTTGAGGTTGCTGTGAGCTGTGACGCTATAGTACTCTGAGGGCAACATAGTGAGACTCTGTCTCAAAAAAAAAAAAAAAGAAAGAAAGAAAAGAAAGGATACTACTGTGTTTCTGGGAAGTAAAATAATGAAGCATAACACTGTCTCAAAACTTCCATAGTGACCTACATGACCCTATTTACACAAAATGTCCAAAGTTAGACAAATCCATACAAACAAAAGGTAGATCAGTAGTTGCCAGACTTTAGCAGACTATGAGATGGAAACTGCTAATGGATATAGTTCTTTGCAGTGAAAAAAATGTTCTGAAATTAGTAGTGATACTCGCATAATCCTGAATAGACTACAAATCACAAAATTATTTACTTTAAAAGGATGAATTCTATACTATATGAATAAAGCCAGAGGGATTTGTTGTTAAAAAATATATCCTTTTGGCCAAGTGTGGTGGCTCGTGCCTGTAATCCTAGCACTCTGGGAGGCTGAGTCAGGTGGATTGCTTGAGCTCGGGAGCTAGAGACCAGCCTGAGCAAGATCGAGACCCCATCTCTGCTAAAAATAGCTGAGTATTGTGGTGGGCACCTGTAGTCCCAGCTACTTGGGAGGCTGAAGCAAGAACTTTGGAGTCCAAGAGTTTGAGGTTGCTATGAGCAATAATACCACAGCCACTATACTCAGGGTGACAAAATGAGACTTTGTCTCCAAAAAAATAAATTTTTTTAAAAAAAGAAATCCTTTCCCAAGGAGTAACTGCCATGTTTTGTTTGGCAGTGAAGTGAACACCCAGAACCAAACTTCGAGGTTGGGGGAATCACACAATATTTCCCTTAACACTTGAAAACATACCCCTCCAGTCGATTTCCTAAATGTGCTGGGTATTAGTTCTCTAAAATAAACTTTAGGGTTAGGTGAATGTTTCTGCATAAATCTTTCACTTTAAGGAGTAGTTCAAACGTTTGGGGTATCTTAAGACTATAACCTTTCTTTTTCTTTTCTTTTTTCTTTTTTTTATTTTTTGAGACAGAGTCTCACTATGTCACCCTGGGTAGAGTGTTGTGGCATCACAGCTCACAGCAACCTCCAACTCTTAGGCTTAAAGTGATTCTCTGGCCTCAGACTCCCAAGTAGCTGGTACTACAGGCACCCGCCACAATGCCCGGCTATTTTTTTGTTGCAATTGTCATTGTTGTTTAGCACACCCAGGCCGGGTTCAAATCTGCCAGCTCCAGTGTTTGTGGCCGGCGCCCTACCCACTGAGCTATAAGCACTGCCTATAACTTTTCCTTTTAATCACGAATTTATTCAAATAGGTAATGCATTAAAAAGTCATCACTATTCTAAGGTTTAACAAAAATGAAGAAATTGAAAATGAATCAAAAGTATATGGTGAAAAGCAGATCTCATGTCCACTACCATGCCTCAACTCATCAAATTCTCTTAGAAAAAAATCATTTTTGGTTTTCATTCCCATAGGAAAAAATACATACGTAGGCTAATGTAAGTGTGTTGAGCATGTTTAAGGTAGGCTACACTGTTTGGTCGGGTACTTACAGTATTTTCAACTTATGATGGATATTTTAGGACATAACCCTATTATCCCCATTATAAGTTGAGGAGCATCTGTACTATGATTTATTAACCATCCACTATTAGTAGACTATTAGTGGTTATTGCTATTTTTTTGCTAATTATAAACAATATGCCACTGAATAACTTTATTTAAGTCATTTTGTACTCTATCTATTCTATGGGCTAAATATCTGGAAATAAAACAGAGGAGTCTAAGTTATCATTTCACATTTTGACAGATATTGCCAAATTGCCTTCCAAAAACACTCAATTAACTCTCCCACCAAAAGAAGTATGTGACTATTTCCCCTTTCTAATGTAAGTATCAAAATTTTTGACCTCTGACAATCTCATAATGGTTCTACACTGTACTGCTAATTTGCAACTCATTAAGTAAAACCAAAGATGACATCTTTTTGTTTAAATGTCAATGTCATTTATATTTCTTTTTGATGAACTATCAATCTTGTACTTTATCTACTTTCTCTTGGGCTTGCTGGTCTTTTATTAAATTACAGGAAATACACATACATGTATGTATGTGAAAACATAAATTGAAATTTGCCTTTTGCTGTTATATGTAATATTTTTCTTTAATTTTTGCTTATAGTATTTTTCTTTCTGAAGAGATCCTAAATTGTTATGTCGCAAAATGGATCAGGTTTTTAAAGTGGCTTCTGGGTTTTCTGTCATGTTTTAAAAAGCCATTTCTATTTAATTATGTCTCCTAATTTTTCTTCTAATTGTTAATTCACTATAAATACATATACAGAATTTATTAGTAGCAAGTTTAAATAAGAGCTTCTCCAACCCCAAATACTTGCAGAGAATCAGAAAAGCTATTATTTCCAAAAAAATCCAATAGAGTACACATTCAAATACTGACATTTAAAACCCAAGATAATTCCTAACAGATTAAAAGCTCTAAATCACTTAAAATAGGTCCTTCTCAAGGACCTATGCAGCTACATGGCATGGCTGCTATACTTATCTATTCTCTAATGAATTTTCCAAATAAAATGTGAAATACCATCCAAGAGGAAAAACACAAATTCAAGAAAGGGCAAGAGAGAGGAGGAAGGGGTTCCAGGAAGCTCCCACCTAACATGTATAATGTAGGAGTATGTGGTACACCTCCTGAATGAAGGACCCAAATACAACTCAGACTTTTCCCAAGAAATACAATGTAACCTAATTGTATGTACTCTCACATCAATCTGGAAAAAAAAAATTACATGTGAAATAATGTTTAACTTGAGATTTCTGTAACATGTCCATTATAATACTTAACATATTCTCTCCTTTAATTAACTTGTCACTAAATAATCTTTATTTATTTATTTATTTTTTTTTTTGAGACAGAGCCTCAAGCTATTGCCCTAGGTAGAGTGCTGTGGCATCACAGCTCACAGCAACCTCCAACTCCTGGGCTCAAGTGATTCTCCTGCCTCTGCCTTCCAAGTAGCTGGGACTATAGGCACCCACCACAATGCCAGGCTATTTTTTGTTCCAGGCATCATTGTTGTCTGGCAGGCCCAGGCTGGATTTGAACCCGCCAGCTCAGGTGTATGTGGCTGGCGCCTTAGCCACTTGAGCCTAAACAATCTTTTATGTAGAGTTTTTACACGTCATAGATCCTAATGACAACCACCAAAACTTTAATCTGACAGTGTCTACCAAAAAGCGCTCTTTAGTTTGTAACCAGAGGAACGAAGTTAACTTACCATGTGTGGAGCACTGATTGTTGCTTGGAAACCTGCAAAACAAGAATAGAACTACTGATGCATTCAGCTACAAAAATATATTGAATATTTCATATAATTACCTTTTTAACATCCATACATTATTTTTCACAGTAATTCTTTTACCCTGATCTCAGGAAAATAAAACTTTTGTTAAAAGTACTGATACACATGGCTGGGCTCCCATAACACAGTGGTTACGGTGCCAGCCCACTGAGGGTGGCAGGTTTGAACCCGACCCAGGCCAGCTAATCAACTGCAACAACAAAAAAAGTAGCTGGGCATTGTGATGGGAGCCTGTGGTCCCAGTTACTTGGGAAGCTGAGGCAAGAGAATTCCTTTAGCCCAGGAATTGGAGGTTGCTGTTAGCTGTGACAGACGCCACAGCACTCTACCGAGGGTGACATAGTGAGACTCTTAGTCTCAAAGAAAAAAAAAAGTACTGACACACAACAGTTAAATTTAGAAAATACAATAGGGCCAGGTGTGATGTCTCATGCCTATTGGGAGGCCCAGGCAAGTGAACTACTTGAGCTCAGGAGTTTAAAACCAGCCTCAGCAAGAGCAAGACTCTGTCTCTAATAAAAATACAAAGTAACTAGCTGGGTATAGTGGTGTATTCCCAGCTACTGGGGAAGCTGAGGCAAGAGGATCTCTTAAGGCCAAGAGTTTGAGGTTGCTGTGAGTTATGATGCCACAACATTCTACAGGGTGACAAAGTGAGACTCTGTGTCAAAAAAAAAAAAAAAAAAAAAGCTGAAAATCCAATCATGCCAAAGGCTAATATACTCATCTAGTAAAAGCCTCATTACTCCTAAAAATTTCTTCTCCTGTATAATTAGGTAAAAAAATAAGAATTTCAGTAAGTTGAGACCTTACTGAAGATTTTTTTACTTGCTTTCCCTTCAGATTTATATTTCAAAAGATGTTTCCAGGGCTGGGCACAGGGGCTCACACCTATGATCCTAGCACTCCGGGAGGCCCATGCGGGTGGATCACCTGCGCTCAGGAGCTTGAGACAAGCCTGAGCAAAAGAGCAAGACCCCATTTCTAAAAAATTGCCAGGTATTGTGGTGGGTGCCTGTAATCCCAGCTACTTAGGAGGCTGAGACAAGAGAATTGCTTGAGCCCAAGTGTGTGAGCTATGAGCCACAGCACTCTACCAAGGGTGACAAAGTGAGACTCTATCTCAAAAAAAAAAAATCAAAAATAAATGCTTCCGGCTCGGCGCCTATAGCTCAACCGGCTAAGGCGCCAGCCACGTACACCTAAGGTGGCGGGTTCGAATCCCCAGCCCGGACCCGCCAAACAACAACGACAGCTGCAACCAAAAAATAGCCGGGCGTTGTGGCAGGCGTCTGTGGTCCCAGCTACTTGGGAGGCAGAGGCAGGAGACTCGCTTGAGCCCAGGAGTTGGAGGTTGCTGTGAGCTGTAATGCCACAGCACTCTACCCAGGGGGACAGCTTGAGGCTCTGTCTCAAAAATAAATAAATAAATAAATAAATAAATGCTTCCACATATAATAGGTATGGAAAATTAAACTGTTTCATATTTCTAGCAACTTTAAAAAAACAAAACCAAGGATGGGAACAGTGGCTCATGCTTGTAATCCTAGCACTCTGGGAGATCAAGGCAGGTGAACTGCTTGAGCTCAGAAGTTCAAGACTACTCTGAGCAAGAGTAGGACCATCTCTACTAAAAATAGAAAAACTAGCGGGATTTTGTGGCAAGTGCCTATAGTAGATCCACTCAAGAGGATCGCTTGAGAGTTTGAGGTTGCTGTGGGGCCATGACCCCAAGGCACTATACCAAGGGTACCAAGGAGAGACTGTTTCAAAAAAAAAAAAAAAAAAAACCAAGATCAACTGACAAGAGACCAAATAAACTACTTCATTTTATTCTTTATCTTATCACCTGATGTTATTTCACATAATGTTTTCTTGGTTTTTAGCGTTTAGTGTTGCTCAAAAATTATGTAAGATTTAAGAAGACTTTATTCCAGTGTGGCTCAAAACTTATTTACCTGCTTCTTTCTGCTTCTGAAGCAATTTTCACTGAGCGGTGGTAGCAGGTGCCTTCGGGGTTCAGAAGCTCCCCAGGATCTTCTCTGCTGACTGTTAACAGTGCTTCAAAAGAAGGTATGCATGGCAGCTGGCTGACAGAATCCTGAGGCACTTCTAAGCCTCAAAGGCGCCCACTGCCAAGGCTCAGCAGTTCAGCAAAACCTGCTTCAGGAGGAGTTAAATATGGGACTTTGTAAAAACAAACACAAGCCAAAAAATCAGGCCAAGTAAAACAGAGAAGTCAGTAATAACTTAAGCACACTCATTTCCTTTAAATATTAGTTTAAAAATTAATGCTAATGTGAAAAGCAATCTAATGGGAAAACTCAGCCCTCAGCTAAAACTAGAAGTTTTAATTCTGTATACATATTATTTGCTGTTTGAGAAAATAAATAAAAAGATATGTTATCTTATTATAGTTTGGATCTATGAAACTTACTAAGTCATACCAGTCACAGTGGCTCATGCCTGTAATCCTAACACTCTGGGAGGCCAAGGTGGGTGGACTGCCTCAGCTCAGGAGTTCGAGACCAGCCTGAGAAAGAGCCAAGACTCATCTCTAAAAAAATAGCTGGGTGTTGTGGTGGGCACCTGTAATCCCAGCTACTTGGGAGGCTGAGGCAAGAGGACTGACTGCCTGAACCCAAGAGTTTGAGGTTGCTGTGAGCTATGATGCCACAGCACTGTACCAAGGGCAACAAAGTAAGACTCTGCCTCAAAAAAATTAAAAGAATCTTTCTAAGTTGTAAAATGCAAATTAGATAGTAATAAATATGTGTCCAAGTCTTTTTCTACTTACAAAAACTGCAACGAATGAGGAAAAATGTGATATTTTTTGGAACTCTAAAGCTTACCTATGGATTGTGGAGAATCCATGTAAGGATTACATTTTGCATAGTGGGAGCGGTCTGTAGCCAGCATCACTTCAAATACTTTATCTGTCTTGATGATTCCATTTTCTGAAACAGATGAGGCAAATTTGTTCAACAGAGTGACATGATCAGATGTATTTGAGAATAATTACTCTAGTTCTGCTGTAGAAATCAGACTGGAAGAGAACATGATTGGACGTTACTGAAATGGTGCAGGTAATGGCAAATGGTCTTTAATAATGACTAACACTAAGAACAGAGAAAAGTAGGAAGATTTGAGTTATATTTAGAACGTAACTGGATTTGGGGAGGGAGTAGGGGTAATGTCATTCACTGATTTCAAAGATCTTGGGGAAGGATCATGTTAAAGAAGAAAAGGATACTCCTAGAAGTGGAGATATCCAGCAGTCAGCTGGACACACAGATCTGGGGCTCAGAAAAGAGATCTAGGATAAAGATATAAATTTCTATTTATATAGATGGCCACTGAAACAATGGAAGTGAATTATAAGTGGCTAGGTAAGAATAAACAGAAAAGAAAAGCAAAAGCCAACACTTCGGACATAAGCAAAGGAAGCAGAGCCTTCAAAGATAAGGACCAGCCACAGAGCAGGATGAAGAACAGGCAGGTATATTGTTATAGAGCCCAGGAGAAGTGACTTTTTCACGAGGGCAAGCAAGACCAATACTATATACTTGGCTTCCTCAACAATTAGTTCTTTGAGATTAAATAAATATTAAACTTCAGAAACCCTCATGACACCACACATATAGTTATTGCATAATAAAAAGCTTTATTTACAGGTGGTGCCTATGGCTCAGTGGGTAAGGGCGCTGGCCCCATATACCAAGGGTGGTGGGTTCAAACCCAGCCCCGGCTAAACTGCAACAACAACAACAAAAAATAGCTGGGCATTGTAGCGGGCACCTGTATTCCCAGCTACTGAGGAGGCTGAGGCAAGAGAATTGCCTAAGCCCAGGAGTTGGAGGTTGCTGTGAGCTGTGTGATGCCACAACAGCACTCTACCAAGGACAACAAAGTGAGACTCTCTCTCTTAAAAAAAAAAAAAAAAAAAAACAAACAAAAAAAAAACCTTTATTTACTCATTGAATATATTTACTATTTAACACATACCAGACACAGTGCTTCATGTGTAGGTTTATAAAAATAAACCAGAGAACACAGTTTCTACCCTCACAGATCTAAAATCCATAAAATTAAATTCATAGGGCGGTGCCTGTGGCTCAGTGAATAGGGCGCTGGCCCCATATACTGAGGGTGGCAGGTTTGAACCCAGCTCCAGCTGAACTGCAACAAAAAAATAGTCAGGCATTGTGGAAGGCGTCAGTAGTCCCAGCTGCTAGGGAGGCTGAGGCAAGAGAATTACCTAAGCCCAGGAGTTGAAGGTTGCTGTGAGCTGTGATGACATAGCACTCTACTGAGGGCAATAAAGTGAAACTCTGTCTCTATAAAAAATAAAAATAAAAACAAATAAATAAATTTTTAAACTTTAATTTAATAACTCAGAAATAAATGTTTTTAACCAAAACATGCTTTTGCTGGCTTGGCGCCCATAGCTGAGTGAGTAGGGCACTGGCCACATACACTGAGGCTGGCAGGTTTGAGCCCAGTCTGGACCTGCTAAACAACAATGACAACTATAACCAAAAATAGCCAGGCTTTGTGGCGGGTACCTGTAGTCCCAGCTACTTGGGAGGCTAAACAAGACAATTGCTTAAGCCCAAGAGTTTGAGGTTGCTGTGAGCTGTAATGCCATAGCACTCTACCAAGGGCGACATAGTGACACTCTGTCTAAAAAAAAAAAAATGCTTTGCTTCATTTGGCTACATTTTAAATGTAGGCAAATTAATGTAGTGTGATTAAATGACCATTTTAAAATGAGACTAGTTCAATAAAAGCATCACGAGAAGTTTAAAATATTTATGCAAACTAATTGAATTTATTCATCAGCTATACAGCTTCCAAGTTCTGGAGGGTATGGTGACCAGCGAATCAATTTCTCCATACAGCAGCTCAAAAAAACCTTAGCCTAAGATCAAAACGGGTTATAAACAAACTATACATGATCTATCTATACCATCACATTACTAGGAGACAGAGAATAACCAAAGTTCAAATTTCCTTTATGTAGAAAAAGAAGCAAGGAATTTCAACAAAGCTCCTGCTGCTACTATTAGCCCGTGGGTACAAAAAGTAAAGGTAGTAGGAGTCATATTTAGAAGACTCCAACACAGTGGTTCGTGCCTATAATCCTAGCACTCTGGCAGGCCCAGGTGGGTGGATTACTGGAGCTCAAGGGTTCAAAAGCAGCTAGAACAAAACCCGTCTCTAGCCAGGCCTTGTGGCGGGCACCTGTAATCCCAGGTACTCGGGAGGCTGAGGCAAGAGGAGTTTTGAGCCCAGGAGTTTGAAGCTGCAGTGAAATATGATCATGCCACTGCACTCTAGCATGGGTGACATAGTGAGACCTTGTCTCAATACACACACACAAAACACAAACAAAAAGTATACTCTAAGAAAATTTGCCAGAAGGTGATTAACATCAAAACACATTCTAATAAAACTATTAGATTTTAAAGGTGAGGAAAAATATTCTCAGAACCTCAAGGTAAAAAGATCAAATTACCTGGTAAGGGGGAAAAAAAGCAAAATTGGATCATCAATTTTTTAAAGAGCAACATTCAAAGCAAAGTAAAAATAAAGCAGCATTTTCAAAAAATTAAACAAAAAAAGGTGCAATGAAAAAGGAATGAACTACTGATACATCCAACAATATGACTGAATTTCAGAAGTACTAATCTCAGTGAAAGCAGCCAGGCAAGGAGACTATATACTACACGATTGCATTTATAACAATTCTAGGAAAGCCAAAACCATAGCGGCTGAAGGCCAACCTATAGTTGCTAGGGGTTGGAAATGGAGGAATGAGATTAATTGTAAAGGGACATGAGGGAACTTCTTAGGTGAAAGAAGTGTCAGGAGAGATCAGGAACATCTACAAAGGGCCAAATAGTAAATATTTTAGGCTTTGCATGCCATATAGTCAATGCTGTAACCACTAAATTCTGCCACTGTAGTACAAAAACAACCACTGACAAATATATAAATCAAAGAGTGTGGCTGTGGTCCAATAAATAATCATAAAATTGGACAGCAGGCCAGATTTGGTCTATGGGCTGTAGCTCACTGACCTCTGTGTTCTATATCATGATTACAGTAGTGGTTACACACTCCATGTGTTTGTTATATTTTTCAAATTATATTCCTAAAACTGGCAAATTTTTATGTACATTATTCCTCAACAAAGCTGATTTTTAAAAAGGGTAAGCCAAGGATTTTATACCCAGCCAAACTGTCCATCAAACACCAACACTACAGAAAAAAAATTTTAATGTGCAAGAACTCAGAGAATTCTATACATACAAACCCTTCCTGAGAAATCTTTTAAAGGATGTTCTTTTTCTAACCAACAACCAACCATATGTCACCAATAACACATATCCAATTATAAAGCATGGACTAAAATAAGGATAGGAATATGGGGGAAATAAAAGCCCCTAAATATATGTTTTGACAAAGTTGAAGGAATAAAACTAAAAACAATGGAAGGCAGAAAAAAAGGCAAAGTAGAATACATTATTGACTACTGAATAGGTCATATTAATAGAAGGAATCAAGGATAACATTTAATACTGCAGATTAGATAGTAAAAAGTTAAGAAAATGGTGGATTAAGGACACTACAAAGGTATAAATACAAACCTTCCAAATAACAGTATTTTTTAAAATTAGCAAAAAGACACATCAAACAAAAAAAAAAGATTGCAAACAGACATAGACTGGCAAAGACAAATTTACATGATCTTTCCATTTTAAAATATAAATTTTATATAAATCAACCAAATAGAAAATATTGGGCAGCCATGGTGGCTAACTCTTGTAATCCCAGCACTGTGAGAGGCCAAAGCAGGAGGATCACTTGAGGACAGGAAATTGAGACCAGCCTAAGCAAGAATGAGACCCCATCTCTATAAAAACTAGAAAAATTAGTCAGGCATGAAGGCATGTGCCTGTAGTCTCAGCTACAAGGGAAAGTAAGGCAGGAGGTTCACTTGAACCCAGGAGTTTGAGGTTGCTTTGAGCTATGATGATGCTAACTGTACTCTAGCGCGGATGACAGGGCAGTGTCTCAAAGAAAAAAAAAAAGAACCAACAACAGAAAATACTGTTTTTACCCAAAGAAGTTTAGGCAAGCTACCTTAAAAGATTATAATAATAAAACAGTGAAAGTATTTTTTTTAAGTTTTAAGAGCAATAATAATAGAGATATCATTTATTAAAAGTTCACCATGCAGTAGACACAGCCCTTAACACTTTACCTAAACTATCTCTTTTAAGACACAAACTTATAGGCTGGGCACAGTGGCTTATGCCTGTAATCCTCGTACTCTGGGAGGCTGAGGCAGGTGGATTGCCTGAGCTCAGCAAGTTGGAGACCAGCCTGAGCAAGGGCGGGACCCCATCTCTAAGAATAGCCAGGCATTGTGGCAGGCGCCTGTAGTCCTAGCTACTTGGGAGGCTGAGGGAAGAGAATTGCTTAGCCTAAGAGTTGAAGGTTGCTGTGAGCAGTGATGCCATAGTACTATACCTAGGGGGACAAAGTGAAACTCTGTCTCGAAAAAAAAAAAAACCATGAACTTATAAACTATCTTATACTGTCTCTAATGAGCCTATAAAGTAGGCATTATTATTTCTCCATTCTACAGAAGTTAGACTTCTCTTGACCACTTCACTGTATTACTACTAACATATTCAAATAGTTTAGTGAGTTCTATAATTCATTTCCCAAAATAATTTTTGAGTGGTTCATTTGCACCAAAATGACTTCAAATTCCAGGGAGGTGATTCAAAGACTCTGAAGGACACAAGAGGCCCTAGAAGCTATCAAGTCTAACTTCATAAATTGGTACCACTCTCTTTACTAGAAGAGTTCCACTAATGAGGTTCTTATTAGCTCCAAAATCAGCCCTTCCACATTCAGAAAATGTCCCTCTATTAAGATTAAT